ATACGTGTGCCCTGGGTGAGCTGCAGGGCCCCTCCTGCAAGGGGTGCCTGGCCCAGGACCATCCCACATGGGTCCCACTGGAGCTGGCTCCTTCCTGAGCTCGGAGGTAACTTCCCAGGGCCCTCTGCCTGCACTGCCCACCTGGCCCAGGTGCACCCGGCGAGGCCCCCCAGAGGGTAGGACAGGGCTCCCCCCACCTGGCCCAGGTGCACCCGGCGAGGCCCCGCAGAGGGTAGGACAGGGCTCCCCCCACCTGGCCCAGGTGCACCCGGCGAGGCCCCCCAGAGGGTAGGACAGGGCACCCCCACCTGGCCGTCCCCTTTAAGGATAGTACATTCAGGACGTGCCCCAGACGCCCTCTGCGGTCCTGCACCCTTGCTAGGTCAGTCCACACAGACCCTGGCGATACCGTACCCTCTTGTTTCTAAGAGATCTACCTTCCCTGGGCTGAGTTCACGGACGGCTGCCGGAGGGCCTTGCTGTCTCACTAGGAGCCAGATAGGCTCAAACACCTCGAAAATAAACCAACAGTCACACCAACTGCATCTGCTGGACAGTGACTGTCGGTATCCCCTCCAGAGTCATAGGTTAACGATGCACACGGTAACCTTCAAGGTGATGTAGCAAGAGGTGGGGCTTGGACAGGTGGTCGGGACTTGTGGGGCGAGGAGGTGGGCCCTGAGGGATTAGGGCCCCAGGAAGTGGCCGCGGAGGGCGCCGCGGAGCCTCCCAAACGAGGACACAGCCAGGGCGGCCCTCTGTGCACCAGGTCCTCTCGGACCCGGGACCTGCCTGCACCGGGACCGGGGACGTCCAGCCTCCAGAAGTGAACTAAACGCTGTGGCTTGTCAGCTGCCCCCTCTGCGTTGCAGCAGCCTGAACAGACCAAGAGCCCACCCTCCTGGGAGCGTCCGGCGCGGGCTGGCGTCTGACTGTCCCGGTGGAGGGAGCGCCAGGGATGTAGAGCGAGAATCTCCCCAGGACACGAGTACCCCGGGGGAGGGGCGACCCCGGGCCTGCCGCCGCCGGGCGCTGGTGCCCGTGGCAAACGGGAGAGGCGTCCCCTCTAGGGCAGTACAAGGTCGCAGGGCCACGTATGACTCTCCCCAAACATCCGCCGCCTCCCGCCCGCCCTCCCTCCGAGTCCGCATTTTCTCCAACTGCCTTCCGACTGCTTGTCACCATGACAACCACAGCTGCGACCGAAGAAGCAGGGCTGCTTGCAAAGAGGCAGCCGGGTGCCTGTGCTGCTTCTCAGGAGATCCCATCTGCTCTCCAGCTCCCACCTCCGGGGAGGGGGCTTGGCAGCCTGGAGCAGCGACCAGAGTAGACCCGGTGGGGCCAGGCTGCTGGCATCTTGGATGAAGATGCCCTTTAAACCCTGCTGCTTCCCCAGACACAGCAGCCGGCACCTCTGCCAGCGGCGCTGCGGCTCCATGGCTGACACCATCCCCTGCACCAGGAGGTCAGGGTTGGATTCCCGTCAGGGCACAGGCCTGGGGTGCGGGCTCGATTCCCAGTGTGGGGCGTGCAGGAGGCAGCCGGTCCATGCTTCTCTCTCATCATTGATGTTTCTCTCTCCCTCTCCCTCTCCCTTCTCTCTGGAATCAATAAAACACACACACACGTATTTTTAAAAAAATATAAAAGTAAGAGGCCAGCCAGGGGTTCTCTGGTCCTTGCAGCCCACAGGGAAGGCAGGGCCACGCCCCTCCTGACTTCAGCACCTTCAGCTGGAGCCCGCATCGGCCACCCCCAGCGCAGATGACACGTGTAACAGGAAGTGCCATGTGCTAATGTGGCGGGACCCCCTCCCAGGGCCCCCCATGGAGCTCTGAAACAGAACGAGACCATGTGGCCGGGACCGGCCCCCTCCCCCCGCCAGGACCAGGGCCAGCTGCTCAGGGCCGACGTGTGCCTGTCACAGCGTCTCCTCTACCGAAGACGCTGCCCTAGTCCACACCGGGCTCCAGTGGGGAGAGGAGAGCCAGTCTTTAGTGTCGATGCCGATTCCGTCCGCTTGATTTCACCGACAACATGCACGCTCGCCCCCAGCACACGCCCTCTGGCGCTCACACCGTCACAGTACAGGCCTCCGCCTCCCAGCTCCTCCTGAGCGACAGGCGTGTCAGTGCACAGGACAGCAGCTCGGCCCATCCTATTGGCCCTCACCGTGACTCCGTGTCAGAGACCCCCCCACCCCCCGGGTAGAGGCGTGATCCGTGAGGTGACAGCCTTCTCCAGAAATCCTTCCATGTTCCCGGTTTCCTAAGGCGTCCGTCACTGCTACTCATCTTCTACTCCCACAAAGACGCCCCTTCCTCTCACTCTGGGAGGTGGGAGGGGGAGGTCAGCTGGGACCCTCTGGGTGACGATGCTCCACGGGACCCAGCCAGGGCCCCACAGGGCCACAGGAAGGGCGGCTCAGGACCCCGGACAGCTCCCGCCCAGCAGTGCTCCCTGACCCGGAGGTGGCTCAGAAAACAGGGTGAAGAGATGCACCCCAGAGCCTCGGTGCAGAGCCCATGGGGCGGGGGGTGGAGGGGTGCGGGCATCTGTAATCGTGCTGGTGAGAAAGAAAGAACAGAAAACAACAACATTGTTCTGTTCTTTTCTTTCCTTCCTCTCACCATTCAGGTCACTCCCAAGATACCCATCTGCAGGATGGGAGTCGGACAGAGAATTTCCTAACAGTGACCCCTCGGGGTGATGGATCTCAAGGCCGGCCTGTGGTTTAAAAGCATTGCGGCGAGGCCCACTGGGGAAGCGAGCCAGTGGGTCTGTCTTTTGTCTTTTTTCTAATATATTTTTACTGATTGCAGAGAGGAAGGGCAAGGGAAAGACAGAAACATCGATGATGAGAGGGAATCGTGGATCGGCTGCCTCCTGCACGCCCCACACTGGGGATTGAGCCCACAACCCGGGCATGTGCCCTGACTGGAACTGAACTGTGACCTCCTGGTTCATAGGTCGATGCTCAACCACTGGGCCACGCCGGCCGGGCCAGCAGGTCTTTGTATCCCCCATGTCCCCCTCACCCTGCACACCCAGCCTGAGCCCTGCACACACGTGCGAGAACTAGCCCGACGTGGGGAAGGCATGAGACCAAGGGCGCGAGGCAACAGGACAGCAGCGCCGACAGGAGGATCCCACTCAGGGCGTTTCTGTGGACGCCGCTCGTCCACACGCTCCCTCCCCTGGGAGGCGGCGGCCGCTCTCTCTCCGGGGAGCGTCTCCCTGGCTCAGTCCGAGTCATGGGTCCTAAACAATAAACACGCTCGGACCCAATGGAACGCCTAAGGCTTCCAACACGAGACGTCGCCAAGGCCCCAGGGAGGACATGCCCTGAGGAGGGTCCCTGACCCAGGACAGATGCCACAGGGGACGGAGGAGGGAGGCCTCCAGGAGCATCAGTCCCGTCCCTGCAAAGCCGGGCACACAGCAGACCACCCAGCCACGACGACAGGCTGCCGCCCTGGCCACCCTGCGGAGCTACGCTGTCTGGTGCTGACAAACACGCTCTTCTTGGTCAGCAGCCCCCCTACAAGCGGCACCGGTGACCAGCCCGGCCCCCCACGCTCACACCTGGAGCTGCGAGGCCACGCCCCGGGCCCTCATCCCCACTCACCACCCGGCTGGCGAAGAGCAGAGGCAGAGGCGCCTGTCCTGGCATTTCCTAACGCCTCTGAGGGGTGAGCGTGGGTGACAGGTGAACGTGAGTGACAGGTGAATGTGAGTGACAGGTGAACGTGAGTGATAGGTGAATGTGGGTGACAGGTGAACGTGAGTGACAGGTGAACGTGAGTGACAGGTGAATGTGGGTGACAGGTGAGCGTGAGTGACAGGTGAATGTGAGTGACAGGTGCACGTGACAGGTGAACGTGAGCGACAGGTGAACGTGACAGGTGCACGTGAGTGACAGGTGAGCGTGAGTGACAGGTGAATGTGAGTGACAGGTGCACGTGAGTGACAGGGCAGAACGAAGCCCGTGTTTGAATGGACCCTGGGCCCTTGGGGTCCCCCGCTCCCGTCCCGGGGAGCCGGTCCTACCTGCTCTTGGGGCCACGTGGGCCTCTCCTCGGGGGTCCTGCCCTTGGTCTTGAGGCCTCTCGGGGGGTCTCCGGGGAGCCTGGCCTGGGGAGGGAGGCTGAGCGACGTGGGCCTGCCCTCTGGTCTGC